GAGTTGAGCTCCTGCAGTTCAGCAGGAGCTTCCTTGCTAAGAGGCTAAGAAAGCAAAGTCAAATTGAAATTTGCATTAACAAGAGGGATGGCTTAGCATTTTGCTCAGAGCCTTTGAAGACTGGCAAATGGGATTATAAAGAGCCATTTTTTTTTTACTTGCCAATCTGAGAGCTTTATTTTCATCTTTGGGTAGTAGGCATGCAAGTTTCTTTAAGGTCCAGTCATGGCAGTAGTACAGCCAAATCCTTTTGCACAACACAAAACAGCACAAATGAGATGTTATTGCTGCAGACATGCAGGGTGAAAAGAGCTGAAAGGGAAAATTATTTGACTCTCCTTTTCACTTCTTGTTGATTGTGTCCTAGCACTTTACACAAAAAGCAGACAACGTGGCCTTGTGTCTGTCGCCACTGTAATCCATTCTAAGGTTTACCATGTGCGTAACGCTTTCATAACAAAATTCAATCATAACTGCTACCAGTGTCAGGGGAACCAAATACAGCTGTGTAAGCAAATGGAAGAATTAGTCCCTTAATACATATTTAATAGGCCATAAAACATCCTTGCACAACTGAACATTACGGTTTATCTACTTCTGCTTTCTTCAACTCAAGGACAAGAGATTAAGATGTCTGTCAAACAACCCCTCGGAACAACTACAGTCTACCCATCACTCCTTTGGAAGAAGAATCAAGACAAGTGACTACAGAAAGTATTTACTCAGATTTGCTCATCTTCCAATATTATTAGCTCATAATACTGCATATATCATCATACATACATACATGCATAACATCATAATACTGCAACTCATGCATCTCAGAAACAAAAAGGCTACATGGAGTTTTCAAATAAAGCAGGAATCTGTAATGACCAGTGACAGAAATGCCACAAGTTTGACTTGATAAATAAATTCCTAGCTACCATCTTATTTTCTGCAGAATTACATTGTCACAATCTCTTCTCTTGCCAGCACATAAAATGAGTAAAGGGAAAAACTATGTGCTCTTGGAGTTGGATCCTTTCCTGAAGCCTCACCCCCCCACTGAATTCCAGTATAATATCCTAGCTATTGATTTAAAATAATATTTCCAAAAATGTTAAACCAACAGCACATACAATGCATTTTGAGCAAACATTTCAATTTAGACAAAGTTTGAGAAGGTAAACACAATGTCAGGACAGAACTGAGTTGTTAAGCTGGATACAAATAAAAATCAGTGCAAAACTAATCTGCACATATTTTTCAGTTTTACAAGTACTCCTTTCTAGGCTGCATTTCTGCATCAAGAATGAGCTTTCAAAGCAGACTAGATTCCTTAGTAGCTGTACTAGTTTAATTTAACTCTGTAACTGGTTTAATTTAACTCTGTAGTGGTTTAATTTAACTCTGTTTTTGGAAACACCAGCTTTTCCCAGAGCTGTGCAGATTGATGTAAAATCTACCAAAATTCGTAACTATTTTGAAAGCAGATAGTATATCTCTATACCCAATTTTCAAGTGCCATCTAGTGGTTACTTTCAATTTTATCTCCATTCGATATTAAGAAATATTTACTTAGTATTTTTAAAAAGTGTGTTATTTATATCACATGCTGTTGTCATATTAGACTTAGGAAAAAAAGCAAGGCATAAATTAGAGTTCTCTATTTTGAACTTCTTCAAGTCAACTTACTGACTTGTCATTATTAGAAAGAAAATTCTGATGTGCTAATGTCAGTAAACAGTCAAAGTCTCAACCAAGCACTTAAGAAAATCCTGGAGAATAAAGCTACCACACTATAATATTCCAAGCAGTCCTTACAACAGAGACAGCCAAAAATCTACAGTGCTATATCAAGAGATTTCTGTTGTATGCTGAACTCAACATCTGATCTCACATAGGCCTAAAGCTTAAGTACTTGACCAAGTCTGGTGACTTAGCATGCTAGCTTTACAATGGAGCAGTCCCAGTATCCTCTTATTTGCTGGGTATTGTTAATTAGTTAATTTCATTGATTGAATGTGGCTAAACGGGCATGCAAAATATTATTTGTATATTTTATACATGCATCAAAGCTACAGTATCTGGCACAGAGACAACCTTTGTAACAAAGCAGTGCACATCAGCTCCTAAATTCAATGTGTATTGACAGATGTGTTTGCTTATATATGTCTGGAAACCCCAGTCATAAACATGAAGTCACTGTCAGGCAGCCAACCAGCTAACAAAGGTATCTGTTTGGGTTGCTTTGCAGTCGGCTTCTGAAATCTTACAAGTAGAATATTCATCTTCCTCTTCAGTAGACTTACAGCTACATGGATGTATGCTTATGTCCATCTCTATAAAGTGTTGGATCACGGAGTCCAAGACAAAGCCAAAATTAAAAACACACTGTCATCCAACACCACATTCCATTATTCTTCTACTGAAAAGACTTGTTACAGCTACATTGCTGTGGCAGAACTAAATTCAACAGGGAAAAAAAATTAACTAAAAAAAGGTAAGCTCTTATTCATTCTTGAATCCAGCTTTCAAATCAATTTTAAGAAGGTGGGAACATAGATAACTTTACTAACTAGAAAACAGTGTTGAAGAAAGGGCAGCAACAGACTGATGGTCAAAGCTGAAGGGAGCTCACAACTCTGATCTCAGTACTTACTTCCCTAGAAGAGGAAGCCTCCACATTTCACAATCTTTTTGTTTGCTTGCTATATGGATAATTACATTAAACATCTCCTTAGAAAGGCATGCTTTAGGTCCACCTCTGAGCCCCATGGATCAGCTGAGGTCAGATCACAAGGCATTGGTGTGCATAATCCTCAGAAGGAATTATATTTTACTGCAGGTCTAGCCTGCAAAAGCTGCTCAGCACTTTAAAATCCCCTTTTAGAACCTAATGAGCATGAGAGAAATAATTTTAAGTCCCATAGCTTTGTACCTCACTACCTAAATTGCTGCACCTCAACCTTCAATTAATTTATTAAATAAGAACGTGCACTTAATTTGAAAGGTATGGAAGTTTTGGCTTACAGAGTGACTAGCTCACTTGAGGGTAAAATTATTCTGTGTATTCTTCTTTCACTGGATGGCCTCTCAGCCCACACAACAAAATGATCCAAGCCAAGTTAGCAGAGAACCTCCCAGCTAACAGCTAACAGCTAGCACCATCCACAGAGATGAGGATGGTTAATTGGTGATATTCTCAGGGCATTCTCACAGCCACTTTCACTGAAACTCAGTGGACGCTGGGCACGAACAACTTAATGGAAGAAAGCAAGCTAGCAAGAAAATTTGTTCTTTATCAAAAAGGTAGCTTTATGCCCTCAGCTATAGATGTGAGGTCCAGCATTTTCCCTGAAAATCTCTTTAGATATTCTTCAGACTAAACCATCAGAAATAAGCAGGGAACAATACTTCCATTTTTAAGGCAAATGCATGCTGAATGTTCCAAAAATTGATCACTACCTTGAGTTGTGCTGAACATAAAAGTCTCTTTTTAGGAGAAGGAGAATTGGTTTATTTTTAATGCATTGTAAGACAACCACGTGATTCAGCCAACTCCACTTCTAAAGATTTAAAGCTAGCGATTTGAAACAAGTCGCACATGAAGGACTTAAGGCAAATATCTTTTTACCCTTCCCCTTAGGAAATAGTATATATTTAATCTAAGAGCACCAATAAAACATTATTTCAAGAAAAGGAAACAATGAAAGCTACATACATAGCATATGGAGGTGTTTAGTCCTGCCCAAGGCAGGCTTAACTTCAGAACTGTTCAAGAGCTTCCATCACCTCCCTGGCTCCTGCTTCATCATCCTCATGATGAAAGATACTTTTTCTTGTGCCCAACAAGAACTTCCCCCTGCTGCATTCTGTGACTACTGCTTCTGGCTGTCTTTTCATAGTATATCTTTAAGAAATACTCTTCTTCATGATTGCCCTTCAGGTAGCTGGAGTCAATTAGAGCCTTTCTGAGCCTTCCATTCTCAGCACAAGTGCCGAACGCTGTGCTACCGTAGGAGTAAATGAATAACAAATAAGCAGGCTGCTCTGCCACTCGCTCGCCCTCGTCACTTCATCACAAAACACTATCATGTTCATCAGGTACAGTTTGCCCATGGTAAATCCATGCTATTTCTAGTCATTTTCTTGTCCTTCATGTGCCTGAAAATGGTTCCAAAGAAGACAAGTGCCATAATCTTCCCAGGACTGAGGTGAGGCCAGCCAGCTTACTGTACCCCAGATGCTTCTGTACACCTTAGATCACAACTAGACACCTCAGGGTCTGATTTCTACTTCATGCATAATCCATGGAAAAAATTACACTGCTTTATTTGATCTGTAATAACCTGAGATTACAACCACCTTACCACATTTACCAATAATTATAAATGCAGAAGATCTGGAAATATCAGCAGCTTGATAACACATAGCATAGTTTGTTTGGCTCAATCCTTCCTCCTCCAATTTTTCAGAAAGCTACCCAGTCCTACAGATACAAGTTTGCAAGCCTCTCCGCTCAAAAAAAAAAAGGAAAAAAAAAAGAAAAAAAAAAAAAAAAAAGAAAAGAAAAGAAAAAAAAGGTTTAAAACAAAGCATGACTTTGCCATTGCATTTGGAAATCTGAATCCAATTCAGACCAAGCTTTTCTTCATATTTTGACAAGAAAAGCTTATTTTTCAGTCAGAGGAGGAGTATATAGTCATTGTGAGCCTAATGAAACCCCTAAAAGCCTCTAAGATCAAGCAAGACAGCAAAAGCCAATGATTGAGCTTGCTGGTCAAGTAATGCATGTAATTAAACAATAAAAAAGTGCACCTGGCACCCGATGAACAAATTCTAAAATCCAGATGACTAACATCCTTGGAGATCTGCTGCGGATACACCAGCTTTCAAGTCTGTGCTCTATGCTCAGGTACCTTAACAAAAACAAGTCTTCCCTGATAATCCAGATCCCTGATGAGGTGGTAAGCCCTGATGAGGAGATGCCCCAGAATGATTTGTTAATCACTTACTGAAACCAGTAAAGATGCCCAAGGATCATCATTCAACAACCTTGAAGAGGACTTTTCAATTCAAACTGTAGCTTGGCACACAGTAGCTTGGCTTAACTTGCTCCGCTTTGTCACGGTTTGGAGTCTGAGAGAAAAGAGGTGGAAGGTCTTTTAGATAGTCTACAATTGCTGAGATGTATTAATTCAGTAGCAAATTCCGTGACGCATGCAACTTTCTGAAGCCTTAAGTGGAGGCACACAGATCTCTTTAGGAAAGACTAAAATGAGCCAGCCTGTAAAAATCAAACACCTGAAATCAACTGGGACAGTTCTTTCTATTAACAGTCCAAGTTTGCACTGAAACTTCATCAGGAAGCAGGAAAGCGGATTTCCCTTTTTAAGTGCAGAGATACCTCACTACAGAATACAAAACCCTCTCAAACCTGGCTGTGGATCCTAACAATATCAAATGATGGGCTCTTAATGAAGCCCTCTCAGAAGGGGTAGATTTCATAGACGTGTAAATGCCAAACATCCTCCATTTATTAAGTAGTAACTCAGAAGCCTTCCCTATTGAAACTCCTGAGTGATCCTTACCTGTTGATATTTGCTCATAATGCAAAACATTTACCAAAGCCAGATAATTTTAACCATTTTATAACAAGAGATCTAGAAACTTTTCAATGAGAAGAAAAAGCTATTTTAATACAGTAACCAACAAGCCACAATTCATTTAGCCTTTCATCACTGAATAATATCCTTATGAGTATTTAATATTTTCTCAAGTTTCGGGAAAGTGATGAGTTTCTCAGAAACTATTATTGGCCATCAATAATTGCAGGCTACAGGACAAGAAAACACTAATTCCACAGCTTATGGTTGGTTCCTTGTGTCCCAGCAGAAAACACATCCTAGCACCCATGCTATGTTCATTATCTGTTATCTGAGCTCCTCCACTGGTTTAAACTGGGACACTGTGGTGAGGGAAAGAAGCAGACATAAGCATAGATGTGCAAACCTATTTGCTCAACTCCACTCTCTTCATGTTAGTACATTAATGGAGAAGGGGGAATTCCTTTAATTCAGTGGACTCCAATAATATTTTTTTTCCTCCATTAACTGTAAGAAACCTGAATTTCTGCTCTTTGGACAACACCACAGTACCAATGTACCACCACACTACCAACACCACCACCAATGTTACACTCTATGCACCTTAACAATTTACTCCCAATAGAAAAAAATTCTATTGATCACAAGAAGAGGAAAATGAGCCTCAACGCCTAAGCATCTTTTCTACTTTTCTATTTTCACTGCATCAGATTAAATGACTCATCTTGGTCCTAAAGACTAAAACCTGATTTGTAAAAGCTAGCCTTTAGTAACTCTGACATTGGCACTAAATAGATCAGCTTGCCTTATGCCAGGGTTAAATTATGACAAGTCAAACATTTAGCTAAAGCTTAAGAAGAACAAATGAGTTCTCATCATTGTAAGTATTCTCAGTACAAAAGCAAAGTTAGCTCAGAGGAAAAAGCATGCTAGTACTGATATCAATTACCATTAATTCACACTTCCACTGCACAGGCTTACCACTAAAGAAAAATAAAAAAATTTAAAAAACAAAATTAAAAAAAAAAAAGCCAACCACAAACCAGACATCGACAGAACAAAAAGAATCCCCAAACATGAAGGCAAACATGCTGAAATACTTCCTAGAAGCCAGAAGCCTCAAGATAAGGAACAGTAGCAAAGGCAAATCTCTGGTAACAGCACAAGTAGATAGAAAACTGATCTGAAGGAAAAAATAAAATGAATAAAACCCTGTGGGGAAACAATTTAACAGAGGCACTGATAACTAATGTTGAGGTCTGGAAAAAAGAACACGTAAAACACATAGAACACACAGGTTCCCTTTCTCATCAGGTCCTATGGCTTTAGGGCTTTACTGTTTGCTATGAACAGTAGCATGTGGATATGTGTATGAGCATGTGGAAAACACTACACTTTTCACTTGAGTTTTTGTTGCTCTACGGTATTTCTCTTTAATAAAGCCTTATTATACACCTTATGAGTATGGGATAAAACTCTAATTTGAAACTGCTGCACTCGAAACCAGCACTGTCACAAGTAGAGGATCTCAGCCTGCATTGTTTTACTGCATCTCCTTTGGATAAGGGTTTCCAGAGAACCAGCAAAAAAAAAGCACCAGAGGCCAATAAAAACTGAAAGAAGAAATCATCTTAGCAAGACAGATTATTTAAACTTTGAATTTGCATTTTGCTTACACTATTACTTATTTAAAACTCGCATTCCCTAACCAACAGTTAAAGAAGTGGCTTCTTGCACAAAAAAGAAAGAAAGGAAACAAGCATGAGCAATCTAGCTCTAGCTGGATGGTGAAAATTGCTTCATGTGTTCGTCAGTTGAAAAAAAACAACAAAACAATAAACCTCCAGCCAACACAAAAAAGCCACTTCACAAGCAACACACACCTCAAAAACAAGATTGGATAGTTAAGATTACAGGTAGGCATTATGGTTTTTATCTTCGTATCTTTGTGACCACAGAGAAACAAAAGCAGGAACACTGTTGCTCCCAGTTCTTTTGATCACTGCTGGGGATCTGTGATGATTGTTCAACAGGCAAAACTGAATTTTGTGAATGCTTAAAAAGTTTTTAATGAGCTTTTTAAAATAGGTCCTTATGCTTATAAAGAGATTCCTAGATGGAAACAGAGATATGTACTTAGACATGATATATCTGTTGAAGGTTTACATCTAGTTGCTCTGCCACAAGCCAAGTAAAAACTCCATTTGCACCTGCATTAAGTCAAAATATAGCTTACTGCAAAGAAACTATTAGTACAGAACTATTGATGTAAAGAAAAAAATCACTGATGAAGCCTCTCTCTCTCTGTTTCAAGACTGGATCTCTTCAAGTGGAGGAGAATTTCCTGCTTTTTCTATCACGTGACACAGTAATGACATCAACTTTTCCCCTCTTAATGACAATTTGCTGAACAATTACTTATTAATCAAATATTGATATGTCAAAATAATTGTAAACAATACAGTAAAGCTGCATCTGTGGAATATTTACAATTGGCTGTAATTTTGGCTTCATCAAATATGGTCAACCTTCCCTGGTGCAGGTAACAGCACACCAATCTGCTAGTCTATCCGCTAGTGCGTAGGTAGACTCCAGGCAGAACTCCACTGGATGTCTCCTGAAGTCTTAAGACGATGTGTCTTTGTTTTTTACAGAGAACTGTAAACGTGAATTTACTCTAAGTTCAGTTTCAAAACACATATTTAGTGAGCTGTGCAATGTCTGCAAAACAACTGTCGATTATTTGTTGCCTTTAGTATTTATTAACAAGAAACAGCATCATTACACAAAATTATAGACATGTTGTATCTGCAATAACCACCACACTGATGCAAGCAAAAAAAAAAAAAAAAAAAAAAAAAGCCAACTTGGCAACAGTATCTCTCTGGAGAAGAGATAAGGAATCAAAAAAAACTAAAAAACAAAAAGCATTCCCTTTCCATCCACCATTTTGCTGAAGAACCTCTACAAAAAATATATATATATAAGGTTGTACTAAGCTTAGACACAAAAAAAATTTTGGTCAGCATGTATATGAGTTGGGAATACAGATAGACCATTAGTTAACTACCAGTCATCCTTGTATTCAAAAGAGTTCTATCGATCACTCTCAGGCTATTTCACACTGTGCCCTCACTGTTGCAAGGAAAAGTAAGACTTACCAAATCCATAGCAGCTACCAACGGTACCAACCCATAACAGCAACCTATGTTAGGTTACAGAAATCAAGTTTCCTTCATGAAGAAAGATGATCCAAAAAAGGGGAAACAAACTGACAGCTTGTAGGATGCATGGATACCTCCCTTGAACTGCATTATGACATAGGTGACACAGGTTTGAAACACCTCTCCACCACGGAGTCCGCAGGAAAGCCAAATGACACACTAATGGGAAAACCCAGGATAAATATTTAGATTTTTAATTTCATGCTTCACAAAATCTACAATATGGCTGAGCATTTTGTATGCATTGTGAGCTCTTTGAACAGGTATATTGTGAAGAAAAACCAACTTCTGCTGATAGAGGCGAAACATAGTTTTTCCTGCTTTGTGCAATAAAGACACATGACAACTCAGAGATCATTTTAAAATGGTCTCATTGGAGAAAGTAAACAAGATATAATTTGCCAAAAATTAGAATTTTACTGTTGTATTATGTGCATAGTGAAATTATGTCTAAATTGAAATAGCTGAGATCCAGTTTGACACGTACAACTTGCAGGTTTTGTAATACTGTGAAATTTATTTTACATAAACACATTTACGAGAGCCTGAAAAGAGCATTGTTTTTTGACTGCTTGTTTTTGTGGGTTTTTTTCTTTCTTTTTTTTTTTTTTTCCCTCTCCTTTAGAAAGACTCTTCTCAATTATGAATCACTTTAGATAATTCATGACATTAATATCTGGCAAAATGCATCTTGGCAGACACTTATGCTCAGTGACAAGAAAGCTCCACAACAATGTAAAAGCCAGTTACATCACCCAGCAAGTGTTTAGTATTTGACATTTTGCTTTCTCAAGATTACCTGAGTCACATAACTTCTGATAAGCAAGTACAGACATTCATATCAGCAGATAGGCTTCTAACATTTCTCCCTTGTTTGGGCTATGGAATTTACATTACATGTACAAGAATAAGCCTTTATTTACACAGGAACTCACATTAGTAAATTAAAACCAACTCACATGCTTGCAGTTTTTATTTCAGTCTAATAACCATTATTTTCAGGTAGCTGAGGCAGGTTCCTCAACATCAGTAAAAGTCAAAGGAATAAAACTGAATGATGGGACTTGCATTCAAGACATATGCACCAACTGGCGTGACACAAAAAAACCTGACAGATTTCTGATAAAAGACACCACAAACCTGAAGCATCACAAAACAAAGCATTCAGAGAGTTCACTACCTTTATTTAGGTTGAACAGATCTATGAGCTTAGAAACGGTACTAAGTTGCCACAATGTGAATACTGAGCTGTGTAGCTGATCACACAAAAAGCCAGGTTAGGCACTTTCTTGGCTTATGAAAGCCAAAT